AAATATATCGTCCCTTGAGCAGTTTAGTATGATGGAGCCCTGCTCAGTTGCTAGATCGACTATGGGCCTACCACTGTTGCACAGGGTGATGATTCGTTCCGCTTGACATTGTAGATTTGTGTCCACAAGCTCACAACTTGATAGTAGGTGCAGTGCTGTTTGCTCATCCGAGCCACAGATGCACAGCGGAGAGGCCGCTGCTCTGTCAACTCTGAAGAGAAACGAGTTCAGTAGATTGTTCTTGTACATGAGACTCATAACCAATACTTCCACTTCGCGGCTCACTCCAAAGGGGATGGGAAGGGGGTTGCAGGAGACTCTTGGAATATCAGACCATCCTTCCATAAGTAGTAGGTTTTGTAGACTTTCTTGCCAAAGTAGCTCTGTGAACTGCTGTATCATTCCCTTGGTGTACTTGTAAGTCTTTGGGGATAGTAGCAGAATGTGGTCCAGGTTTCTGTGGCTGATTTCACCGAGGTCACAGGCCTGAACTTCTGTGTTAAAATGTTCTGCTTTCCATTGTAGGAACTTCTGCACCTCTCGGAGATGACAGAGCACTGTTGGGTTCTTTTCCTTTAGCTGAGTTTTCACAAAGTCATAGTGAATGTCATTTGAGTCATGGAGAACCTTGAGGTAGTGTTTGATCGAGATTATTCTTCCCAAAGTTTGGAGTGGTGGCACACCCAGAATGACTTCAAGTATGGCCCCATGGACGTTGAAAACAGCTCCAACTGCAGCTTTAGACACTCTGTACCATAGTTTGTTTATGTCTGACATATTTGAATTGTTCATCCATATGGTAGAACCATAAAACAAGGTCGAGAACAGAATTGTTTTGGTCACTCTCACTATAACTGCTTGGTTCATGCCCCAGTTTCTGTTTGCATAACGGCTCATACAAACCCAGCGATATACTAGATTGTTGTGTACATGCTTGCTATGCTGTTTGAAGGTTAACTTACTGTCCAAAATGACACCAAGAACCCTTGTCTGATCCGTTAACTGAATTGTTTTCCCTCCAAGGTTGAATGAAGTCGGGACTCCAGCATGATCATAGCAGTTGAAGCATATAATTTCAGTCTTATTTTTGTTGCAGTTAATAACCATGCGCCAACAAGAGGTCCAATATTCAATGCTGTCCATAGCCAGGTTGAGATAGAAAAGGCACTCTTCCAAGTCTCTACCAACCACTTTCACCGTACCATCATCAGCGAATTTTAACACACTTATTTGTTGGTACACTGAACAGACTGCCTCAATATCCATAATGAAGAATTTGAACAAAATAGGAGACAGCACAGATCCTTGTGGTAACCCATAGTCCAAGCAGTCCCTAACAGGGCCAAGGAATCCATTTATTAATAGGCACACTGTGCGACCAAATAGAAAACTGTCTATAGTTTTTAGGTAACAGCCATGAACACCAGCTCTCCAGAGCTTAACAACTAGTCCTTTTTTCCAGACGGAATCAAATGCCTTTTCGAAGTCGATAAACAAGCAAAGTACCGTAAGCTTCTTTATAATATCACCTTTAATACCAACAGTCAGTCGATTGAGGTATCTAATAGTATTCTTGCCTTTTGAGAATCCTTCCTGATTTACATCCGTAAGTCCCACTTTCATAAGATATATATCAAGTCGTCGTGCCAGGATTCGTTCAAACAGTTTCCCTACATATGAAGATATTGAAATGGGCCTGTATGCACCTGCTTGGGAGTATGATGACTTTCCGTCTTTTTTGAGAAACACAATCTTAGAATCGTTCCACAGCCAGAGCCCATTTCGCAGGCAGAGTGTAAAAAGCTTGCTTAGTGCATGAATTGCAATCGGACCTAGTTTCTTTAGCATAGACTGATGCACTTCGTGGTTATCAAAACTGGCAGCTGTTGATTGAATGCCTTTCAGAGTAGCAGAGACCTCCCATGGTGTAACAGGGCAATAAAGGGTGGAGCTGTTGGTAAACCTATCTGCCATTGCCTCAGTTGCACTGGGTTGAAAGTTTCTGTATTTTATGTCATCATACAGTTTGTTTATATCCTGAAAGCAAGCATTATCGAATTTATCGATATTATTTTCGATGTGTTTAGCCTGGAAAAATGTTTCAAACATTTCTTTCTCAATGTCAGCATTTCCTGTAAGAATAGTTCCATCCTCCGATATAAGAGCTTCAACCATCTGATCTGATGGGGGTTTGAAAAGCTTATTAAACTCCTTCCAGAACTTTTTTGCCTGAGAAGTGTTAAGGTCATTTGTCTTTCGAAGAATAAACTGCTGACATGCCTGCTTTCTTGCTTCCTCAAATTCTTTCTTGGAAGCCTGCAGAGCTTCAAAGGCTGAGTCAGTATTTCTGGATAGATATGATTTGAGATCCAATCTGAGTCTTTCAGAGAGTAGTGATAGCTTGGGGGTCCAGTACGGTTTGCTGTGTTTGGAGACACATTTCATTTGGCAGTTTTCTTTTGTGGAAACATCAATAGCTGTGTTAATGGCCTCCAGCAGTTCCTTGATAGTCCCATCAGTAGCTAAGCTGTCAATTTTTTCAATTGCCAGGTCAAGCTCTATGTCTCTAGTCCAGTTGAACCAGTCCATTGATTTAAGGTTATACTTCTTAACATTCTCTGACCTGATTGCGACAGGTTGTACTTGGATATTGATTGAGATTGGGACATGACCTCTCAGGGGAGCCCCACTGTACAAATTAGTAAAATGATCTGCAATTGGATGATCTAGATATTTATCAAGTTGAGTGGATGTGATAAAAAAGTCGATATGACTGCTACCATTCCTTGCCAAAAATGTACTTGAGGAAGATGCATGCACACAGAACTTAGACCAGTCTAGATGTTCTTCAATATATTTTCCGTACTTATTTACCACAGTATCATTCCAAATATAATGGCGAGCATTAAAATCCCCCATAGCAATCACACCTGCACATTTGTAAAACCTACTCAGTTCATTTGCCTTATCAAGCATTACCAGCATCTCTTTGACACCTGATAGATAGTCTAGTTTCAGGTAAAGGTTCCCAATTATGTACCTCTTGCCGTTCCAAGATAATATTCCCCAAACCGAGTCAATATTGGATGAAATATGTGAGATAACAGGAAGCTGTGTGAACATGACTTCTTGTTTAACAATAATTGCACATCCTTTGTTGCTATTCTTATTTGTATCTTCAAAGGTTTTCATGTTGGTTAGTGATTTCCACTGGCTGCTACTACCAGTCTCCTGCACACCAAAAAGAAGAGTGTTGTTATCAGACGCATACTTGCTTAGCATCATGTTGCTTCTTTGAGATAGACCACAGATGTTTATTGTGCAGAATTTTCCAAGCACAGTGTTATTTTCAGCATTTCCGATTGAGTTATGATTTTTGATCATAATGCATCATGGGAGAACTTAGCCAATTTCTCTTTGTACACTGCACAGTCAAAAGAACCTGCTTGATGATCTTCCTTGCAATGTGCACATTTGAAGCCACTAGTTATTGGACAGCTATTGCTTTCATGGTTTTCTGCACATTTACCGCACTTAGCTGGTTTGGTACAATATCGGTGAATATGTCCCCAACCTTGGCACTTGTTGCACTTGATTACCCTAGACTTTCTTTTGTACTCTTCAACTATGTAGCGTTGATGGCAAAACTTTATCTTGTCTGTTATAACTTTTGTCATTGCTTCTCGTGATGAAAATTCTAGTTTGATCATTCCATTGAATGATTTATCAGACCTCTTCTGTTGAAATTCACACTTAGTGATTATACCAGGGTAATTCTGCATAATATCCTTCTTCATATCATCCTCGTTGTGATCATCATACACATGCTTAACCATGGCAACAGTGTTATAGTCACCTGGTATTTTCATACCTTTATTACCACCAAAATGACTGGTTTTCCAGTTAGACTGCACAGTTTTAGCTGTGTTCTCATCCTCAAATTCAAATGTGATGGAACCTGATGCCGTTAACCTACAATGTTTGATCACCATGCCTTGGTAATGCTGATTAAAAGCCTTACGGATATCACGACTAGTCCTTATGGTAGTATCTTCTGGTCGGATAACAACTCTGGTACGTTTGAGTCGCTCAACATCGTCAGAGTCCTGTTTAGCTTTTGAAATCGATTTCAGACCCTCCATGACCTTTTGTGGGATAGGACTATGTTTGGAGATACCGTTTGAAACAGCTGCACTGTATAATGGTCCTTTATTTGCTGCCTGTTTTAACTGTTTCTCGACAGTGGTAACTTTTACGGTAATAGCATCCACTTTACGCTCCACACGCTTCAACTTGGATAGAGCACTACCATAAACCGAGTTACACGGGGGGCACAGCACCTTAATGTATGTTGGAGAATCACTAAGTGCTTTAAACAGGCTGAGACTAATGGGCTTCTCTGTGCAGTTGGTGTGAAAATACCACCCACATCCACTGCATTCAATGCCAAGACCTGATGTATCCGAGTTATTTGTAACCTCTTTACAGCAAACAGAACATGGGTACATCACCTTACCCGATTCTGATTTAGCAAAAATTCCTTTTACCGTTCCATCTACTGATTCGAAATCAACAAATGTACCTTTTTTATCAAATACTGCCAAAGTGTTATCATTATCATGGTTACCAATTCCTCTTGTGAAGACTTTGCTGCTGCGAAGAAGTTTGCGCTTTCCATCCTCGTCATAGCCCTCTGGAGCAGTCAGCTGGAATTTGGATAAGACACTATCAAGCTGAGGAGAGGTTAGTTCAGTTAAAATTAACTTTATAGGAGTAGCCATTCCGAACGCTGTCCAAAGTATGTGTTGATCCAAAGATGTCGAAACAAAATTGAGAAAGATTTAACCCACCGGAGAGGTTCCGACTTGTGGGTCGGACTCCCTTTAAAGATTTAGATGAGAAGTGAAGAAAGGTCTTCAGTGACTGGTCTGGAGGCCTTGTCTGGTAAGAGCCACCGTTATAGCTTGTTTACGATTCCACTACTTGTACATTTCACATACCTCAAATTATTTGTTATATAGTAGTGTTGAAAGTATTAAAACTCACGAACTGTGATACATTCCAGTGAATATTCAAAATTTTGAAAACACTAAATTGCATCTATCTCGAAACACATTTTGTGACTTTCAGTTCCTTAGTTGAGAAAACCAGCCACCCCCTGATATTGGGATTTGGTACAGTGGTTCCTTGGACAAGTATCTAGATATTAGATGCAGCGATTTTTTTTATTTGACTCGTTTCTCGAATTATGAGGTTAACCAGCTAAATTTGTCGAATTTTTGACATGGTTAACCTCATAATTCAAGAACCGAGTCAAATTTAAAAAATCGCTGCATCATAAATGAGGATAATTGTCCAAGGAACCACTGTACCAAACCTCAAGATCAGGGAGTGGCCGGTTTTCTCAACTAAGGAATCGAAAGGTCAAAAAAGTTACAGCCGTTTAAAGATCCAGTTTAACATGTAATTACAGGTAAACCTCAAAATTTAGCGCGCGATATCACAGGAACGCAAGGTCTGATTTTGATCCGGTTTTTTTCTTCTTGTTCGTCTCCAGCAACTATTATCAAATATGTGAAAACTAGAAAAGTGCCATTTACCCCCCCCCCTCTGGCCTTAAAACACTGTAAGTAACATCCTCTCAGGAAGTATACACAATCAAGATCTAGTAAAGTAAAACAGATCACAATGTAATACGGGAAAGACAACAACTAACATACAAACACTTACCGGCTTCAAGTTGGACACTCTCGTAGTTGTTGTAGGTCCTAGCCGGTTGTTGTTGTCATCTTCTTCTTATTCACATTTGCATTTACATGCTTATAAAAGAATGGTTAATAATCGACACCCCCTGGGATCATTTCGTCCGTAAATTTTACACATTATAAAAGCTACAATAAATTATCTATTAGTGCTTTTCATGCAACAAGTAAAACAAATCCTTTATGTCATGTTTCCAGGGTTTGGACTGGAATTTCCCGCTTAAAGAACCTCCATCACGTTACATTACATAATTTTCTGAAACATATACTACATTTACAATAAATGATGCAATATCATAACATTACAATCAACAAAATAAATTTAATCGCAGAATCTCAAATGCAAATAATCGTAAATTAAACACAAAAAACAAATTAAACATGCAATAAATGAATATACGAATGCGCATCTTTTGTCAACTTACTCCTTCATAAAATTAATTTTTGACAAAAAAATTTTTTAGACGGTAAAATAATGGTTACTAATTTATAAGTCACAAATAATAAATCAATACAAATTAATCACAAATACTAGAATAATTAATAGATATTAGGTAACTTATATAACTGAAAAACGATATATGTCGATACAAATTACAAAATAATATTAGGTGATTGAAACATTTCAATAAATTCATCATAAATATCACTACCATATTTACCCCAAATATTTAATCTTGATTTATAAAACTTGACAAACTTGTTGCGCAAAGCAGCTAACTTAAATCCTTGCGCAACCAATTTACCTAAAAGTTCGGTAACACAATTTTTGAAACCCTTAAGTGTCGAATTAATTCTGGCTAATCGTACTAATTGAGAAATAAATATTCCATAAGACAAATTATTTGGAACGTTTCCATCCAAAAAAGGATAAGATATAACTTTAAAATTATAATCTTTTCTTTTATCATATAACGTCACTCTAAACTTTCCTTGATAAATACTAATGTTTAAGTCTAGATAGCAACATTTACGAGCCGAAATATTAGTATTATTTACTATCATTTCCTTAGGATAAATATCTTCTAATACATTCTGTAATAAATTGAAATCATTAAAAACTATCAAATCATCTTGATAACGAAATGTGTCTTTTAATCTTTTTAGATTTTCTGTATCCCCTTGTTCTATCAAAAGTTTAATATATTTATATTCGTAAACATGTAAATAAACATTAGCTATTTGTGGTGCTGCATTGGTACCCATTGGTATTCCAATAACTTGTCTATAAATTTGACCCTGATAAGTAACATAAGAATTGTCAATCAAATAATTAAGACATTCCAAAAGTGTATCTTTAGAAAAATGAACTTTATTTTTACTAACATTATCAGAGAAATAGGCCTTCTTAGTATAAAGATTAGGAATAATATAAGACTTATCTTTAAAATCAAATACTCTTTCTACAAACATACGAAGATTATCCTTCAATTGAATATGAGGAATAGATGTATATAAAGTTGAAAAATCATAAGTACTGACAGACTTTAAACCCTTTTGGGTATTATCATAACTAAGAAAATCTAAGATAGGCTCATTATTATCAATAACAAAATAATCATTTCTAACGTGAAATTTATTATCATATATAGATTTATTTTTAGCTGAGTGAAGCATAGATTTAATACAAATGCTAAGATAGACTGATAATTGTTGTAAACTACTTCCACTACCAGACGTTATATATCTAACTCCGACTGGCTTTTTATGCTGTTTTGGTGTAATATATAAATAAGGTAATTTGCTATTATCTTCATCAAATTTAATACGATGTTTAAGTAAGAATGCTTTATGCTCATTAATTATATCATCTTCTGAACGATTAACTTTAGTAAATGTATTCGATGATAATTCCTTTTCAATCATACTAATATAGAACTTTTTACAAACAATAGTAATATTATTTTTGGCTTTATCGGTAGGAACCAATACAAAATCTTTATGAAGCTCATCTAAATCTGCTAAGACTTCAACATCTGATAATACTGAATAATAGGGATATGGTTTAGCTCCTTGCAGTTGAATTTTCACTTGCTCTATGATTAGTGTTTTCCACTCTTGAAACTCTTCTATAGGTTTATGCCATAAATTAGACAATTTATCGCAATAGCTTTTGAGTGCCGTCTTTACTGATTTTAAAGCTTTTTCAGTACATGGTTTAGCTTGGTCTCTATAATTTAATCCCTTCATTAGGAGATTACGAAGTTTATCATTACTAATCATTGATAGCTCTCCTGTAATGACATGTTTATGAGTAGGGTCTGTATAACGACTTGATGCACAATTACATTTCAATGTTTCTGAGTCAATGTTAGCTTCATTATATACTTTTTTGTAGTTAAGTACTTTAGATCTGATTGTTGGAGGGTATTTATAGGACAATGTAGGTTGCTGATGATATTTTGACTTGAATGGTGCAGCTTTAGTGACTTGTTCCATTTTAAATATCTTTCGAAAATCAATATACTCGACAAATTTATTAACATAATTAACTACAATAAAAGAATTTGATTTACTATTATTCTTACACGCTAAACCCATTCTTGTAAGGTAAAACCATGATAAATCTTTAACTAAGAGAATTTTATGAAATCTATATGTCGTTATACTACTATTAAAATTATTAATATAAGATATAGCTTTAATATATACTAACTTAAGTTGTTTCTTTTTAAGATTACAAAGATTAGTACGAATATCATGCATATCAATCATATTATCATCATCCAGCAAATCTTCATAAAATACATCGATATCAAATTCTTGTCTTTCACTTACTATATTACTAATGAATCTACCTCCACGTGAATGTCTATTTATTTTAACTATATCGAACTGACTATAAATCGTTGTTTTAGAGTTCATCACAATATTGCAGGCATCTAGTATGTTCTTCTTTTTAACACGAACGTTGAGACCATATGGGAAAACTGTATTTAACTGCAACATACAAGCTTCTTCAATATCTTCTCTTTCTTTCAATGTAGTATTATTAGGTAACAGTTTAATCGGCATGATAGCCATGTTTTCAGTGCTATGAATTTTAGTGAAGTGATCACGAAGTATTTTGCAGCCTCCACCAAGTTTTATAGTAGATTTATGTTGGCTTATTCTAGAAGCAATTGAATTGATCGTGTGCCCAATGTATTGATATTTACAATCTTTATGCAAGCATTTTATCAAGTAGATGCAATTCTTCGTTTGACATGATCCATTAAAGTCAATGAGGAAAGTAGAGTTTGTAGTGCTATTAGTGTAGAAGTTGTCAAAAGAAAGGCGGTTTAAGCATGTAACGCATGATTTTCTATCACATGGTACTATGTTAAAGGTTTCAAGAGATTCTGGATCATTTATACTCTGATGATCATTAAAAGATTGTTCCGACTTCATGCAGAAAAAAGATAGCTAGGCTATCATTGACCAAGCAGGGCGCAGAAACAGCCACAGTAGATCACTAAATATTAGTGCTTTTCATGCAACAAGTAAAACAAATCCTTTATGTCATGTTTCCAGGGTTTGGACTGGAATTTCCCGCTTAAAGAACCTCCATCACGTTACATTACATAATTTTCTGAAACATATACTACATTTACAATAAATGATGCAATATCATAACATTACAATCAACAAAATAAATTTAATCGCAGAATCTCAAATGCAAATAATCGTAAATTAAACACAAAAAACAAATTAAACATGCAATAAATGAATATACGAATGCGCATCTTTTGTCAACTTACTCCTTCATAAAATTAATTTTTGACAAAAAAATTTTTTTAGACGGTAAAATAATGGTTACTAATTTATAAGTCACAAATAATAAATCAATACAAATTAATCACAAATACTAGAATAATTAATAGATATTAGGTAACTTATATAACTGAAAAACGATATATGTCGATACAAATTACAAAATAATATTAGGTGATTGAAACATTTCAATAAATTCATCATAAATATCACTACCATATTTACCCCAAATATTTAATCTTGATTTATAAAACTTGACAAACTATAAAATTTACATAAACAAACTTAAGAGACCTCAAAGCTCGTCTTCTGAGGTATGAGATTGAAGGATACGTCATCCAGTCAAAGGTGGTGGGCTTTTTGTCGTCCTCTGATTCCCCTGAGTGCTATAAGTGTGCTTCGTAGCAGATTTGACCATTGTTAATGATCTGACCCGGCGCACGCTACTTCGTAGCTCTTGCCATCGGGCCATTTCGAGAAGAAAGCGGCGCGCGCTACTTCGAAGAAATTTAGACGAGTAACATCCGTCAATAGCAGAT